TACATACTACTTGCAAGCAAGAGCTTTTACTAAGACGTATCTTTTGGCACTACTACAAGGCAATTAAAGCCTTGCAACATTTGTGCAAAAGATGCAATGGTAGTTGTTTCATCTAGGGAAAATAAAGCACTGATGCAGTCACATGAGCTTCACAAGATAAGAGGAAGAACTGAAAGCAGAATCAGAATTCACTGGTTTTTAGACACTCAAAAAACTTGCAGTCGCTGAGTCAAATGCTCATTATAAGTACTTGCAAATGCTTTTAGTCTCCTGGGAAGGGTATTTACATGTATGATTTATTTTTTCCTGAGGACCCATGAGAGCTGCATGAAAAGCAGCTCAAGACAGCACCATGTGATTGGTGAAGTGTGTAGTGCTTCAGGCTTTTGCTGTCTGCAGAAGCTGAATATGCACCACAAGCTTTGCCATGGCATCCATGAGAAGAGAACCTCCATTTGAATTCTCAGTTTTGTCTGAACTTAGGTCTTCTCTTGGGTAACAATACTATTTTTTTGGAAGGAAGGCCTTGCACAACTGGTAAATAACAAATGGATTGAGCAGTTTGTTTCTGATGCTGGTAGGTAAATGCAGTGTTACTTGAGTACATGACATTCCTTTCCTTTTTTGTTGCAGTACTTACTGTCTTCATGCACATGCTGCAGCAGAGGAAGGTGATTTGCACTTCAAGAGGAGTAAGTTAGAGCGAGCAAAGACCAGTATGGAAAACCCTGGATAATAGATGCTTCCACCTAAGCTAAAGAGGAAGAACTAGAAGCCCTGTAGGTAGGGATGACAGGGGAAAAGTGTCATTGTTCTCAATAACGTGAAATGCTGCTGGAGATGCATACTCTCAAGTATACTCATGCATGAAGGTATCATTTTCTCTTGAAATAGAAGGAAATGAAGAGGAAAGTTAGCAAAAAGGTATACAAAATATGTCAGTCATAACCAATGTGAGGTTTGCAGTCTAGATAAGGATTTTCAAATCCTTACTTCTGCAATGCAGACATCCACTGACACCAACCCAGGCTTGCAGTGGGAGCTGTATGAGGAGTATCTTGGGGTGGTTCTCTGGTTTGAACTAGTAAGATGAAGTTTCTTTCAGATCCCTTTACTGAGAGATTCTCTTCACAAATGCACTTCTCAGCTACAACCTTTGTATAAATTAATCTTCCCAAATCAATTGTACAGTAACCTTAATAATTTTTGAGGAGTGAAATCCTTTTTATTTCTGAAATATTCTCCAAGAGAGACCTGACCTTACAAGTTTTTCTTGTGTATGTATTTTACCTTTGTGTTCAGCGTTCACAGGATCTGACCCTTGAAGATTTAGTGTAAGATTTATTTTACTTATTTATTTAATGAAAGGAGTACTTCTGCAATGCAGACATCCACTGACACCAACCCAGGCTTGCAGTGGGAGCTGTATGAGGAGTATCTTGGGGTGGTTCTCTGGTTTGAACTAGTAAGATGAAGTTTCTTTCAGATCCCTTTACTGAGAGATTCTCTTCACAAATGCACTTCTCAGGTACAACCTTTGTATAAGTTAATCTTCCCAAATCAATTGTACAGTAACCTTAATAATTTTTGAGGAGTGAAATCCTTTTTATTTCTGAAATATTCTCCAAGAGAGACCTGACCTTACAAGTTTTTCTTGTGTATGTATTTTACCTTTGTGTTCAGCGTTCACAGGATCTGACCCTTGAAGATTTAGTGTAAGATTTATTTTACTTATTTATTTAATGAAGATTAAGTAGTAAGACAGAAAGATTTAGAAGTCTTTCACCTGAGTACAGAAGTTAGATTTAGCCAGGAATTCATAATGTAGTCATAGCAGGCACATTTACTTCTTTCTATCTTAAATGTACAAAACCAGCAACAAGCAGCTCACAACCCAAATAACAGTTCTGTAACACTGACCATGAGTGTTCTGGTGAGGGTGCAGACCTGGATTTGACCACTGGCATCCAAAGTGCCAAGAGATGTTATGCAACATGGGAACATGTGGTGAGAAGCACAAGTCCATAGGGACAGCACAGATCTAAGCAGTGCTGTAAAACCCTCCCAGAAGGAGTAGCTGTGTTTGGCATTCACTGTGCAGGTTCAGTGAACTACCTGATCTTTATGTGAAGAATAATAAAGAAAATAATACTCCCACAATGCCATCCACACCTTTACTGCCTTCGTCCACTACCCAGAAACAAACATGCTTGGGTGGACTCTTGGTCACCCAAGTGTGCCTTTCAAGATCAGAAAATCAGAAGCGTTCGTTAACTTCGCCTTTTCCTGCTCCAGCAACATGGTAAATATGCCCGAGTTACTGGATTAAGAAAATGAGGGTGGCCCAGACCAGATTCTGTTCTAGAATAACACAGGATTTTACTTTTTTTTCCCAATCACCAAGTGTGCAATGGTATCAATAAACTGATGTTGCTCTCAAGAATCACTGCTACGAGCTACCACAAAAATTATTTCAGTTCAAGGGTAAGTGCACCTTTTTTGTTTAGTCAAATTTTAAAACAGGTCTCAAAACTCATACTCTGAAAGCTGAGAGATGCCTTTTCAACACATCTGGGGGAGTGTATGGAGATGGAATTGCCTGTTTCTCATGCAGAAGCAAGATTGCTTCAGAGCTGCTATGCTCCTCAAATCCATATCAAATCGCTCTCCTGGGAATGAAATCTTGCATTAAACACTGTTACTAAACATATCCTTTTCCTTTTATTTTTTTCTTTCTTCTTCTGATCTGCAGCTTTTGTGTCTGGTAAGGATGGCCATTCTGACTGGTACCAGGCTTCACAGGGTTGTGTCTTGAGTTTTAAAGAAGACTACAGCTACTAACAGATAAATAATCATCAAGGCAATTACAAAGAACATAAATTGATTTCTGCTCTTACAAAATAATCCAGTATAGGAAAGAAGCAGGCTTGCATAGTTCCAAATTCTTACTATGCAGCATAGCACATTGTTGCCATGCTACCAGATTGCTTGCCTTGATATTTAAATTTGCCCTTAGATCTGTATTTAAAAAGAATGAACTGTTAACAGTACATTGAAATATAAAATAACCTGACAAGACGTAAGCCTCATCACCAATTTGTTAATAGTTTTTTGGCCTCTACAGATTTTAATTTTCTTTTCTAAAATAAACCCCACCATCACAACAAATCTAAGATATGCACAAAGCAATGAAATATGGAAAGATTCTGTTTGGGAGTGCAATAAAGGTTTTTATCAAAGGAGGAATATTGATTATAGTTTCCATACTTTAAAAAATATGTGTTTTGCCTGCCTTACTAAGTGCCTCTTGCCATCTTTTGTCCTCTCCAATTTAACACAACAGAGGGAAATCAGAGTATGATGATATTTTCTTGTTATTGATGTATTGTGGAGGAGAAAGGAACATTATTTCTATATATGTGTGTGTGTAGATATATATAAAATGTCCTTTAGGCACAAAATCTTGTGTTACTGGAAGACAACTCTTGATTACAGATAAGGCAGCTTTAAAAAGAAACTTATCCCTGTGATATTCTTAGCCAGTCAATCAGTGTGGCTTTAATTATGTAGAAGTATTTGACATGTTATGGCCCAGGAGATAAGAGCTGTTGCATATTAGATGAATGAAAGGGAAGGAATTCTGTTGGTGACTAGAAATTCCATGCTCAGTGCTGCATTAGTGGCATAAAATGAGCACTGGAAGGGAACGCTTCCTACTAAATAGTGATTTGCATTGTATTGCAGATTCCAGCATTATGAAGGTTGTTGGTGGCAGAATTCTTCATTTCTGGTTAATGACTGCTGGCTTTATTGATGGAAGAGTTGCCATGAAAAAACCTGTGTAGTATCAGGAATGTGCCTTTAAGTCAGTTGTATTGGTAGGAATTTTTTAGTTTGCTTGCCTTTTGGTATGGTTGATTGGCTTTTGTGTTTTGATTTTTTTTTTTTTTTAATAATTAAGGGGTTTTCTTTGGTTGATTGGCTTTTGTGTTTTGATTTATTTTTTTTTTAATAATTAAGGGGTTCTCTTTATATTTTCAGTGGTAGGTGGAAGTCTCAGTTTTTACCAAGTAAATTCTTTATGTTTTCAGTGGTAGGTGGAAGTCTCAGTTTTTACCAAGTAAAAGGTATCTGTTGTGATACTGGTTGTTTTCAGTACTTGGAAAGAGACCACCTTAAGGTTTTTCCACATCTATTCCACACCTATCTGCAGTGATAATAAATGAACTGTACAGCATGTGTTTAATTTGGTATTTGTCCTCCATTCATTATTCAATTCGTATGCATTGTAACTGACCCACCAACTAACAGATAATGATTTGGGGGAGAAATGGAGGGGAATTATATATTACAGCACTACTATACCTTTGCAACAGTATTATTTTCCTTCCTGTGCATATATCTATATTTGTTTTTAAAGTTTTTTTTTGTCACAATTCAGTAAAATACCTGTCTTATTCTTGAGCCAACATTGATTAAACTTAGACATGTTGACATTTTTCAGCGTTGGGACTCTTACAATATTTAGGCCCCAGCTTCTGGTGTGTGAGAATTACAGCTTTGAGCTATTGGGACTCTTACAATATTTCATGGTTTAGTTTAGGCCCCAGCTTCTGGTGTGTGAGAATTACAGCTTTGAGCTTATACTCAGGCTCCAGGAATGAAGAAACTATGAATTTGTACTTTAAACATCTGTGGACAATATGATACCTTTAATTCTGGAGTTCTTGTGATTTGCAGTGCTACAGCAATTGTAATAGAAATAAGTTCCTTAATATTAACCAGCACCTGCTTGAATGTACTAAGCTTGAGTTGCCAGTCTTCTTTCTGATATTACTTAACATTGTTATAACCATTGGTGATAAATATAAACAAGCCAATGTCAATCAGAGTTTCTGAACCAGCTGTTTTATCAGTGAACAGTCCATGGTGTTACATACTTTCCTCTATTCAATGATATTCCTATTTAAAGTAGTAATTAAGTAAAGTAGTAACCTGCTACAGTATTGGTAAATGCCACTGGAAGGTTAGGAAACAAAAGCTGTTTATTTCTGCTCTAAGATTCCCATCCTCCCTGGGCCTTGGCACAAGGAGTCTTGTTTCTTGACAGAATGAAATCCATATTGTCCTTCAGATATTACCTCTGTCCTCATCAGGTAAGCTCGTGGCTCACTGTGGCTGCCAGCTGAGGCTGACCCTCCCTGCCTGGTTGGCAGCTTGCACAAGTTGGTCACCGTGACACATCGCCTGTGGCTCCTCAGGCTGGCCCTGTGGCAGTCCTGGCCTCTCCTCCTCCAGCCTCAGAGGCTCAGCAGGGTGGATCCTGTGCCCGAGTGCATGCCAGGCTCCTTGTCAAGGATCATCCTGAGGGACTGTCACAAAATAGGGGAAATTCAAACAGAAATTCCTAAATATTAAAGTCTGACGTTTATCATACATGGGGAACTTAACACCATAGTAGCATCCTGATAAAATGGAGATGTCTGGAAAAGAAAGATAAAAATCTATTGTAGTGGAGCCTATGAGCCAACCAAGTGTCTAGAACCCCTTGGTGGAAGGCATTTAGAAGGCAGCAGTAGACTGTCTTTGCTCAAAAGACTCAATTGTCTAAATAAGACTTCACAGTTTTGTATCTTCTATTTAAATTAATCTGTCACAGGAAAAGAATAGTGTAAAAACTGGTACCAGGCCAATATAAACTCATATTATGGTATCAAAGGTTGCAAAACACTGGATTTAATCAATAACACACAGACCAAACCTTTACTAAAACCTGAATTATAGATATATCTGTAATAATCAGAGAATATAACTTAAATGTACCTAACTGGAAAATCTTAATTTGGATCTACTATTTAGTTGCATTTTGCTGTTAATCTTCTTGCTGGCTTAAACTACAAAGATAAAAAGAATTAACTCTGTAGATTAAAATATTAAATATTTTGCCTATGTAAATATGAATAGCAAGTTCTCTGCTCTGGAGACTATAAAATGATGGCTTTGCAGTTATTACATTATTTTCGTTGTTGTTTTCTTTACCAGTACTGTGTCACTGGGGGTGGGAATGAGGGTGTGTTTGATTTTTAAACAAACTCCCCAAAGTGTACTTTATTAATTTTTCAGCTGTAGACTTATAGATTTTTAAGCTGTTTGTGGCAGGAATGTCTGCAGAATACTTAACCTGATGAAATCTTGGTTAATAGACTTTTCCACAACACATATAATTTAGGATTTATTTGCCCCCAGTTGAAAGTTGTCACTATAGCAAATACAAGAGGAAGAATTAAATGGAAAGGAATATATAATGTGGTTGTTTAGGGTTTGCATCTGGTAAAGGGGCTGATATCAGGAGGCACAAAAGTTGATTTTACCCTTGCAATGCTAGGCTACATAGGATGGTACAAAGTTGGATCCTGCAGGGAAGCCCTCTAGGAGCCTTTCAATCCATTGGGAGAGCCCAGGAGAGGTTCACACAGTGTTAGGCAGTTGTTATTTTACAGTGTGGACAACTTCTATTTTAAGGGACTGTGACATACCTTTAAGTGGCTGGAAGTTGACCTTTTTGATTTGAACTGGGTGCAGCTCAAGCATCTTTGAAGACTTCAGTTTTGCAAATGAGCTGCAGCCTTCCCCGCAGTGCTTTGCCCCTGGGAATGTCCCACAGCCCCAGCAGGACTGTGGCTGCAACACAGGAACTTCTGCTTACCACCAGGAGACTGCCATGGGCTAGTTGCTCAGTTCATTCAGTTGTTGTTGATAATAATAAAGCTTAGAAAGGTGAAACAGAATTGACCTAGTGATAGAAAAATAGAAATTGTTCAAATTGCTAGAGGAATTAGTCTACGTTTTGTCTTTTCCAATGAGCACAACAGTTATATAATTAGGAGACTCTAAGGATCATATTGTGCCAGCCATAATACTTTGTGTCACATATCTATATACTTATGCAACTGTAGACATTACTTACTTTGAACCAGATATCAAAATTTATATACCTATTGCCTTGAGCATCGGTTGAAGACAAACCAGTCTATTTATGATAAATAATGAAATTACTGAATAAATCAGCAAGACTCATACTGCCATTTACATTCTTGCCTCAGTAACTACTTACTGCATGTTTAGTGATGAGAGACGCAGAGTTCTGAATTGGAAAATTCATAGATAACTACAAAATAGACTGACCTACAATGTACCAGTGTGATGCCTCAGTGATTTTTAAACTGTTTCATCTTTAAATGAAAAATGCTAATTCTTGAAAGTGTTAGCCAAGCGCGTAGGTACATTTACTGAGAACCTAGGAAATGCATGCTTATTTAAATACATTTTGCAAAACTTCATCTTACAACAAATGAAATAAAATGCTGGGGAAATTCTTGTTTTCACACTAGCTTTTATATGTATCTATTTCTAAAGATATTAGAATATTAGAGAATGTTATTTCATTAATATTCCCCTAGTCCTTTGCTAGTCAATGTACCAGATATGGAGCATGAGGCTTGTATGTAGGTGTCTTCCATGCTGCTGCCCAGCTATAACCTTGGGGTACAGCAACCTTGCACTGCAGGATTAGTGTCTTTTCTCCAACAGATCTGCTCCACAGAGTTGGGTTTTTTTCTGTATTTTACATCCTGCAGTTAAGCCAGCTGCAGCCAAAACCTAATCTCTTGTTTAGGCCAACTGTAAATCTAATTAACCCTGCTGACACTGCATCTTATTCAATGACAGAGTACACTTCCTCCAAGAGAATGGCTGAAGCTGTATTAAAACTTTTTAGAATATTGTCTAACAGTGAGTTTTCAGTGTTCTTCCTGCTCTGTGCTGCACTGTTGCCTGCTTAGCCTGTCAGTTACTGATAGGGAAAGTCTATGTACCTGTATGTGAAGAAAAGGAAAAAAATCAGCCCCAAATGTAGGCTAAACACTTCACATAGTGATGATTTTGACAGACCTCTAGAACTCTCAATGTTTCCATCTCTGGCAGAGCACAGGATGGCAGGGAAGACAAAGGAGAGATAGCCAGCTATCAATCATCTTCTGTGCTCTCATGAAGGTAATGAGCATGGAGGAGTGACATGCACAGAGTCCAAGATTATTCAAGAGACTAAAAAGATACAAATAGCATAGTATGAGCTGCCAAAGGCTCATGCCAATCTGTTCTACCATTTCTGCTGGAATATTTCTGTTTACTCTTATTTTCATAATGACAATATTTCAGCTTTATCAGACACCTGTAGAGAGTAGGATCTACCGTCTCATTTAGAACAGTTGCTCTCCCCTAATGACTTGGCAAAAGTGAGATGAACATTCAGTTATCATCATGAAGGTCCAAAGAAAGATGAATGCTTCCTAAGACCTTCAGTAGGCTGATGTGTAAGGGGAACTGTGCTCAGAAGCGATTAATTTATGGGGTATCATCTCATAGCATCAAGCTTGAATCCTACAGATTCTGTTGCATTGTTATAGAAATCACCTAAAATCAAGATGCTTTTACCCAAAGATGGTCAGAAACTTTAAGAAATATTCAGTCCCTTGACTTTGTTACCAGAACCACTCAAGATGGGGACTAAACTTCAGGAGTAAACAAAGGGTTTGCCTTGTTCCCCTGCTTTGTCTAATGAAGCTCAGTTCTTCAATTTTCAACAACTTCTCCAATTAGACGAGATCCACATGCCTCTTTTCTCCTCTACAAGCCATTAGGATCTATTGGGATAAGAGCTGTGCATCAGAGCCTAGACAGCTAATGATGCCTCACTTCCTAGCTGTAAACGGAGCAATTTAAACAACACAGTTCATACCTACAGTTCCAGCAGAGAAAAGGCTGTTAAATCAAGAATTTCACTTGAACTGTGCCTGCAGAGAAAAGGGTTTTTCCACCTTTACTGAGAAACTTTTTCAAGCTAGAGTAGTCAGTTGAGATAGCCAAAGTCACATTTTTTCAAAGAATCCTTTAACTGTGAACTAATTGCATATTTTATTCATCCAAGATGAATGTTATTTGTACTTTGTGTAGCATCAGAAAAGAAATGAAACTTTGAAATCTTCTGTTTAGGCATTGAAGATACTGAGGAGAAAAAGAAGGGAAAAAATTAGCTCAGTTCTCCAAAATAAAAGAGCACTGTCTTTGGTATTGCAATTTCACAGATAGAAATCTGCATAGACTAGTCTGTTTATCTGCTCAAAGCTCTTTACATAACTGGCACTTTGTCATCTTCTGTCTATAAATTATAGGCAGTCATTGCTGGAGTGTTGAGTAACCAAGCATAGAGTTTGCTGCTTTGCATATAAATGGAGCTACAGTCCTGGATCTATGTGAACATAAATATGAACATGAAGGCATCCTTGCCCTTCAACTTGATACCAGAAACCCCCCACCCTTAATGCCACACATCTGTGGATGCTGGTATAAATATGAAGCAGATAACCTCTTTGGTTCCTTTAAAATGGAATGATGAAAATTGATTTGGGAGAAAGATGTGAGTGCATAAATCACATCAAACCAAATACAGGTTGTTACATGAAACAGGCAAATTAGGTAACAAATTTTATGTCAAGTGTTTCTCACTGACTTGGTGAAGAGAAGGCTTTCTTCATATATTACTCTTTGCATGGATAATACAACAGTAGAGACTGTTTTACTTCTCAGAAACCTCAGTCTGGATCAACCTAATTTACATCTTTCCCAGTGTGACACTACAGTAACATCTGGAAATAGATCCTTAAATAGAACAGGAAATAGGCTTTATCTAAATATTCACCTTACTAATTAACTCTTCCTGACAGAGTTATAAGGTCTTGGTCTTTCAGTATACAGAGTATGTTACAGCTGGCAGATTTAAACCTCTGTGTAAGTGCTTGGTACTTTTTTGGAAAGCAAAAGATCTGTCTATACAACCAAAAAAACAAGCTGTAGAGAACCAGACTTCAAAGGAGCTACAACATCCTCAATGTAAAACTCCACCTACCCCAAGTGAGGATAAACAATGATATCATTACTTAAATTATACTGGTTACTGTGGATGATCCATCCATAGCTGATTGCTTCTTTTCAATGGCATTAAATAATGTGCTGAAATTTGCATTGCAATAGGATGGTTCGCTATTTTTTTTCAACCAAATCAGGTAAATTCCCCCCAGGTCCTCTACATACAACAATCCAATATTGCAGAGCATTTTGACTACCCTGGTTTTCATCTTTTGTTTGCTTAAATTATTTTCTGTTGACATAAAGGACAGCTATATTTTTAAGTTCACTGTTGGGTTTCACAGATGTAGGTTTAAGGAGATTATTTATGCTTTAGGATTTAACATCTACCAACATGCTGTTCATTTGCCTGGTATCACAGGGGACTAGTTCTTTCATTTGCAATTTATAAATCCTCATCTTCAGACTTTGGTTTTCAGATAGCTGGATGTTTGAAACATCCAGCAGTTATTAATTTAATGAATTTTATCTTAGATGAACTAAGTGTTTATTCAACAATCATGATATATGATAGGTCCAGGGTTTTGTTTTGTTTTTAAATTAAAATAGAAGAGGTAATGCTAACCTGGTAGGTTGTTGAGGAGTCACCTTGGGAGCCCTCCCTCAGTCTGATGCATGTTTGATGAAAAATGCTGTTTTCGTGCATCCTTTACTGAGAAATCTGGTGATTAACTTTCCAAAAGGACAACAGAAAAAGCTCAAAAGCCTATATCCAATGCTTTTTCCTTCCAAAAACCTTGCATTTGGAATGAGAAAGTCAAACTTGTGCTCTGTGTGCCTAATAAGACCTTAAGTGTTTACAAAGGTGGTAAACAACGATGTGGCTGAGTCTCATGTCAAGTTTGTCTCATGATACCTCAGACAAATGCCTGTAAATGTGTCTGCTGTGGCTCATACAGAGTCTTATACTCCATGCAGACCAATTTTTCATATTCCTGCAGGAGCAGCCCCATCCACTATGCTTGATAAATAAATCCTTTATTCCCTGTAGAAGTCTAGATCTTGAGATTATACCAGTTTCTGATGCTGTCATACATGGGACAAAGCTGCCAGGTCCAGGGAGAACAGGAGCTCTCCAACATTTGCTGTGCAATAAATGATAACCTGCTCATAAAGCAGGATGCCTGGAACGTTAAAATGCAAGAACAGAAGGTGACATCAAAATGTGAGCCTTGCTTGAAATGCCTGAGTTAGCCAAATCTCTGTGCTGCTTTCAAATACACTGCCTATTCTTTTATAATTAAAGCTTGAAATTATTTTATATATGGTGCAGTGATTGACTTCAGAATGGAGAATTAAAATAATCCCTATGAGAGAAAGCTTCATAATAATTAATATTGTTATGCTAGAAATTTGAAAATAACCCTGTTTCTTTCTCAGTGGTTTTCATTCTGTTCTTGGCAAGCATTTTCCTATGCTGTGTGTTTTGTGCTATGAGAGCCATTCTGGATTGCTGATAGGCTCAAAACTCAAGCAGTTTGTGCTCAAATGCCTTGATTTGATAATTCTGAGCTGGGTGCTGTGAGTTTTCAAAATGCAGTCTAGCATTTTACAGGGAGCTGCAGGCCCCACTATAGTCTTACCAAGAGCTCATCCTGTATTTAGTTTTCTTTGGACTGTGAAAAATCTACAGAGGAAAGAATTTCCCCATTGAAGTTTCATTATGTTTTTAGAGCTACTAAAAAAAGTATATCCTGTTATACTGTAATTTTGTAATATAATGCATCTTAAGCATGTTTTGGTAACACCAAGTACCACCAGATTATTAGTATTTTATGGAATTTACTTTCATCATTTAGAAATCAATAC